AAACAGCTGGCAGCGCCGGGGGGGCGGGGCAAAGAAATAAGAAAATAAATAATAAACAAGAAATAAGTTGGCGTTACCTCTCAGGTCATCCCTCTTCGTGGTCATCGGGTCACTCCAGCCTCTGTTGGGTGCTCTGAAACCAGGGACGTCCATCCTGAACTTCCTGTCCGGCTCTACTGACCTCTGGCTGGGAAGCAGCCATTGGTTGAGCTCCCCAGGAAGGCGGGGTTTGTTGAGTCTGAGGCCGTTCAGCTCGATGCAAACCTTCAGCTTCTTCACGTCCTCAGGGGTCGAGTCTGTGACGTAAAACAACAAACAGTCAACAGACAAACAACCAACGGTCAACAGACAAACAACCAACAAACAGTCAACAGACAAACAACCAACAAACAGTCAACAGACAAACAACAAACAAACAGTCAACAATCAAACAACCAACAAACAGTCAACAGACAAACAACCAACAAAGTCAACAAACAACCAACAAAGTCAACAAACAACCAACAAACAACAAACAAACAAACAGTCAACAAACAAACAGTCAACAGACAAACAACCAACAAAGTCAACAAACAACCAACAAACAACAAACAAACAGTCAACAGACAAACAACAAACACAGTCAACAAACAAACAACCAACAAACAGTCAACAAACAAACAGTCAACAATCAAACAACCAACAAACAGTCAACAGACAAACAACCAACAAACAAACAAACAGTCAACAAACAAACAACCAACAAACAGTCAACAGACAAACAACCAACAGTCAACAGACAAACAACCAACAAACAGTCAACAATCAAACAACCAACAGTCAACAAACAAACAACCAACAGTCAACAGACAAACAACAAACAGTCAACAGACAAACAACCAACAAACAGTCAACAGACAAACAAACAGTCAACAATCAAACAACCAACAGTCAACAAACAAACAACCAACAGTCAACAGACAAACAACAAACAGTCAACAGACAAACAACCGACAAACAGTCAACAGACAAACAACAGACAAACAGTCAACAAACAAACAACCAACAAACAAACAGTCAACAAACAAACAACCAAACACGGACGCCAAGTTCAAAATAATCTGGTAAAAGAAAAAAAAGAAAAAAAAATGCTGAGAGGACTCAAAACGATAAATGAGGACAAAGGGATAAAGGAACAGGTGAGTGTCGTCTGCATAGCGATGAATACAAAGTTTATCTACTCGTTTAAATGTGTTCAGTCAAATAAGACAATAAGTGGACTCAGTACAGAACCATGTGGGACACCAGATTTAATGTCTGGATGGATATTTTGGGGAGAAAAAAACATTTAGATGGTTTTTATATGACAGATGTTTCTGTGTTCCACAGGTTTTTCTCTTCTTTAATATTTATAAGTTAAACTTCAAAGGAGGAACATCTGGAAACCCTTTGTGTTTGTTACCCGTCTCCTCGTCCTCCTGCTCCTCCTCCCTCCCTCTCTTCAGCCGGCTGCTGGTGATGCTGCTCTGGTGAAACGGCTCCAGACTGAAGATTCTCCTCCTGAAGTCTGAACCTGAGAGTCCAGGAGAGAGGCCTCGGCCTGGAGACAGATCCATTTGTCTCTCCTCTCCTCCTTCCTCCTCTTTGTTTTCCTCCTCATCTGGGGATTTCAAAGAATAAATATTTATGCACAGCTGATGTCTCCATATTTATCCAGAAGTTTTAATCTGAGTGTTTCGGAGAGTTTTTTTGAGTCTAAATGTTTTTCTCTCTCAGCTTCCTCGAGAAAATGAGGGCAGCGCTGAGCTCGGCTTGAAAAGAGCGAAGTGCACCCAGAGTTCAAATGTGTGTGTGTGTGTGTGTGTGTCTCTCACACACACACACACACACACACACACACACACACACACACACACACACACACACACACACACACACACACACACACACACACACACACACACACACACACACACACACACACACCGAATTCACAGAAAAAAAACAAACAGAGCGAGTGATTTTAAGCGAGTGAAATCAACAAAAAAAACAACTGTGAGAGAGTGTGTGTGTTTGCGTGTGTGTGTCTGCGTGTTTGCGTACGTGTTTGCTTGTGTATATGTGCTTGTGTGTGTGTGTGTGCTTGTGCACGTCATCCTGCAGAGCTCTCCCTGTAAATCCTCTTACTTGTCGCTGCCTCAGCGGCGGCTGCAGAGGCAGTTCTTCCTCCTCCTCCTTCACTCTTCTCCTCTTCTTCTCCTCTCCCTGCGTCTCTCTGTTGGCTGTCTACTGCTGTCATCATCACCTTCTCTTCCTCGTCCTCCTCTCCTCCTCCTCCTTCCTCGTTCTCCTTCAGCTCCAGTTCAGAGAATCGCTGCATCGCACGCTGAGAAAAGACGACATGAGTGAGAACGCAAAAATGAAACTCTTGACCTGGACTTTAAACTTCTGTTAGAACTTTCCCTTCAAACGTTCAAACTTTTGCCTGTTTGCTAAGAGGAGAGGAAAGAATAAAAGTTGT